GTGTGAGGCTGGCTCTCTTCTTTGAGGCGATGTTTCCAGCTGCTGAGAAGAGACGCTCAGAGGGTGTAGAAGTCTGGAATGCAGAAGAATGACTTGGCTAGTGATGCAAGTGATGGATATTTTGCCTCATTTATGTGTTTGTGTTTATGTTTAAAATATGTTCTACAAGGTGTAGCCTGGATGGAAGGTCTGGATCATCTGCTTGAAGCCTTCATCCTCAACCATAGATAATGGTCTCATGTCCATGACGATCATGTTGAGGATGCGTTCTGTGAAGACCTCAGCCATTTTTGGGGTGCATGAGCCTTTCCTCATGACAAACTCGTCCACACACCTTTGCTTGGCACTTAAAAAAATGAGAGAAGAAATAGCAAAAATGTAACAATGTGAAAGAAATATATTATGTTTAACACTTATCAATACCTTAAACAAATATCACTGATTTCTCCAAAATTGAATCTCTTACAAAGTATTATGAATGTGCTCCAAATCTGTTTAATTAGTTGACATTAAGTGGAGGTTTACAATTCAGATTGAACGCAAGTATTAACAGGAAAAAGAAAACTTAATGGTTAAGCAAATTGACATGACAAGTTGCTACATCATCAAGGGTTGTTTTTCCTTTAATATAAACGTATTGTACTGATAACTAAAGCAAATTGCACACTAAATAGCGTTACTGAACAAAACGTTATCCAAGCAAGTATCAAAGATGGTTTTGCAACTGATTAACATACGGTACCAATGTTACAAGTAGGATACTTGAATTAGTCCTCGTGCCTGAAGCACAAAGGGCTCAGTAATTAAATGCAAAAGATCTAAAAGATATTCATGTAACTTGCAAACTCACCAACTCACGGTATTTGAAGACACTGCAGCTACAGGGTGTCGGCGTTTCAGGTGTTCGTGCATTGCCGTAGTGCTGCCATGGAAGGAGAGTGTGACTTCACACAGTTTGCACTTAACGTGTTTCGCCATTTTGTTTTCGATAAAATGTTCCCCAACTTTGGAAGCACTGGGTCGACTTTTTCGAGCATCCTACGTGCTTTCCGCCATTATTCATGTGAACTTCTTCTTCTCCGTTTCTGTGAATAATGTTAAAATTGGGAGCGATACTGCCCCCACCACCTGTAGTGAACTGCAAGTACAGATGAGTTTTGACCGGCTGGTATTTGATTTTACCAATAACAAAAACAATAATACGACGCATCAACGCTTTTTTTTATAGTCAACGTAATCGATTATGTCGACTAATCGTTGCAGCCCTACAAACAGACAGACAGAATTAGACCATAACCCACAGAGAGAGACAGCAGTATAGGACCGTAAACCATAATGCACTGCACATAATGTCTAATTGCCCTGATTACTTCACCATTCATATTGTATTTGTATATACCTCCTATTTTTATCTATATTTACCTTAAATATTGTGTTTACATTTTTTATTTTGGACAACCTTTTCTACTGTCTTTGTGCTGCTGCAACACCCGAAGTTCTCCTCTGACAATCTATAAAGTATTATCCTATCCTAACCCAGAGAGAGACAGCAGTATAAAACCATAATCCAGAGAGAGACAGCAGTATGAGACCATAATCCAGAGAGAGACAGCAGTATGAGACCCTAACTCAGAGAGACAGCAGTATGAGACCATAACCCAGAGAGAGACAGCAGTATGAGACCATAATCCAGAGAGAGACAGCAGTATGAGACCACAATCCAGAGAGAGACAGCAGTATGAGACCACAATCCAGAGAGAGACAGCAGTATGAGACCACAATCCAGAGAGAGACAGCAGTATGAGACCCTAACCCAAAGAGAGACAGCAGTATGAGACCCTAATCCAGAGAGAGACAGCAGTATGAGACCCTAACCCAGAGAGAGACAGCAGTATGAGACCCTAATCCAGGGAGAGACAGCAGTATGAGACCACAATCCAGAGAGAGACAGCAGTATGAGACCACAATCCAGAGAGAGACAGCAGTATGAGACCCTAATCCAGAGAGAGACAGCAGTATGAGACCCTAATCCAGAGAGAGACAGCAGTATGAGACCACAATCCAGAGAGAGACAGCAGTATGAGACCACAATCCAGAGAGAGACAGCAGTATGAGACCACAATCCAGAGAGAGACAGCAGTATGAGACCCTAATCCAGAGAGAGACAGCAGTATGAGACCCTAATCCAGAGAGAGACAGCAGTATGAGACCATAACCCAGAGAGAGACAGCAGTATGAGACCATAATCCAGAGAGAGACAGCAGTATGAGACCCTAATCCAGAGAGAGACAGCAGTATGAGACCCTAACCCAGAGAGAGACAGCAGTATGAGACCCTAATCCAGAGAGAGACAGCAGTATGAGACCATAACCCAGAGAGAGACAGCAGTATGAGACCATAATCCAGAGAGAGACAGCAGTATGAGACCATAATCCAGAGAGAGACAGCAGTATGAGACCATAATCCAGAGAGAGACAGCAGTATGAGACCATAACCCAGA